AGCACATCTTATTTGCACCTGCCACACTGCCAGTGTTCAGTAGCCACATGTGGCTAGTGGCTGCCTAACTGAGTAGCAGTCAATCTGTATACTCTTCACCTTGTCCAAAATCCCTATGACTAGAAACACTGATGGGACAGAACTACAAAAATTGGAAGTTGCATAAATATGTGAAAGTAATACAATGATTCCACAGAGAGGACAAAACACATAAATAAGCATTACAGAATTTTATATTCTGTCAAGAATCATTTACAATATTTCTTTGTAAGGATATTTATTATGTGGAAAAACCATGCTTACCATTTTCAAAATTAATGGAATTCCCTTCCTTGGATGTCTTTTCAAATTAGACAAATATAGACATAGAGAGTCATATATGGACATAGCAATGGATTTGATTAGAAGTTCTCAACTCTATCTGCATAGAATCATCACGGAAACTTATAAAACACCAGGGTATCATCTCCAAGACCCTTATTTCATTACTCTGGAGTTGCTGGGGCACTGATGCAATGTGCAGCCCAGGTTGAGGGGCATCAAATAGGATAACCTCTGCAGGGACTATCACGCTCCCTCTCATTGCCCCTCACTTGCCAGTTGCTCCCACAGTAGTCAAGGATATTAGCATAATTTGAGGCACCGTCTCAAGAAACACTAAGATAGCTATTGGTATTCATACATACCATCAGAAAATGGTACAGGAGTCCCCCCTTATCTGCAGGGGACACATTCCAAGACCCCTAGTGGATGCTTCAAACTGCAGATAGCACCGAACCCTATTCTATATTTTTTCCTATACACACAAACCTATGATAAAGTTTAATTTACAAATTAGACACAGTAAGAGATTAATAGCATTAACTAGTAATAAAATAGAACAATTCTAACAATATACTTAAAGTTATGTGAATGTGATCTCTCTCTCTCAAAATATCCTATTATACCACACTCACCCTTCTTCTTGTGATGATGTGAGATGACAAAATGCCCACATGATGAGATGAAGTAAGGTGAATAATGCAGGCACTGTAATGTAGCACTAGGCTACTACTGACCTTCTAGTGATATGTCAGAAATTAGGTCACCTGCTTCCAGACCATAGTTGAGCATGGGTAACCAAAACCATGCAAAGTCCAAGTGCAGAGAAAGGAGGGCTACTGTATTTCATGGCTTGGGGCAAAAATGTGCACTTATATTTAGCAATCACAATCATTTCTACAATATGGAATCATGCCACCCCTACTTAGTTTTAAAACCAAAGTCAGCAAATTTTGTCAAAGGCTAATACAACATGTATTTCTTAAACACTTTACATATTATAAGAGATTGCAGATACAGAAGATTGGTCCTGATTTAAAAAGAATATGAGTAACAACATAAAAAAAAAGTGAAATTGAAAAGGAAGTTTATAAAAGAAAGGGTTTTATTGCTCTATTTATTTTGTGACCCAGGTTTACAGTGCTTAGCATTACAGCTCACACAATCCTAACAATGTTAGAGGAGTAATGTATATAATACAAATGTATATTACATACAGATAAACTACATATATATTATGTAACTATGTTATATTCCTGTAATTGTATACAAAGCCCTTCAAATACAAAATAAATAGTGAAGACAGGATCATACCACAAAGTCCACACTTACATACCTCTTCATGAATGAGTAGAAGTCTAATTTAGGCTCTCACTTGCCATGGGACCCTGGACAAGTCACTCCCTCTCAGGGTTAATCACTTCATCTCTAAAATGGAGCACTGTTACCCACACTTTGGGTTTTTTTATGAAAGTTAAACTTGGAAGCACTGGAGCTCACACAGGGTAGTTGTTCAATAAATACATATTGAATCTGAATGTACCTGCCCAACTTCCTCACTTCTGAGAACAGCAGAAAGAAGCCCAGAAGGAAAATTAATTGCTCAAACTCACACATGAATCCCGGTTTCCTGACTAGTGCTTTCTTCCCACCTCCTTCCCCTTAAAAATCTCCAGCCTGAGGCTAACCATGCCTCCCCTCTTTCCAAGACAAGCCAATGATGGCTCCTGCCCTAGTGCAAAGACCACAAGTCCAAGACCTATCATTGCCCCTCACCTGCCCAGTTGCTTCTACAGTGGTTAAAGATTTTAGCACCACTTGAAACCTTCTCTGGAGAAACACGAAGATAGCTATTGGTATTCATACATGCCATCAGCAAACGGTATAGTAGTTCCAGACCTTCTGCCAGCAGCACACAAAGGTAGCCACATGGACCTGGCATACACCCCACTCTGACACTCACCTCCAGCAATACTTGTACTCCCCTGATCCCCTCCAGGCATCTTACTTTATTACTGGATCACAACCCACAGGTGCCAAGAATAGACCCAAAAGCACTTTCTTAACATTTTCCATTAACACTGCAATGGGATCTAGTATGCATTAACTACTGTCTCACATCAGGTTCCCTGGAAGCAGATCCTGAGATAAGGATTCACATGCAAGTGTCTCATTAGGAAAGTACTTCCAGGAGAAACTGGTAAGGGACAGGAGACACAACACAGGGAAAGGGAAAAAAAACACACAGGGTGTGACTGCATGCCAAGTCCCATCCTCTGTCTGATCTAAAGGAGTGGTTGAGAGTACAAATTAACCTCAGAGCTTGTCTAATTGAGGCAGGGGTGCTGCTCTTTCACACTCCTTCACCCACCAGTCACTGACTCCAGCAGTTCAAGGGCAGTGCGCTGGAAGAAACCAGCAGGTGCAAGTGCTTACAAGCAATGCAAATAGAAGCTGGGGATGAGTACAGAAGACAGTGAGGGTCTGTGCAGAGCCCCAACAGTATCCTCTACAACCACCAGCTTCAAGGGAGGACTTGAAGCTTGACTGTCTCAGATCTGAGCCCATTTGATCTTTCCAACTTTTCAAAATCCAAAAAATGGAAAGCCAGTTTCTGTAGCGTGAGCATATTGTACAAAGACCACCACCCCAGCCACTGGAATTGGCCAGTGATGCAACTGAGTAACATTAGATAGATCAAGCTACTCTGGCATACTGCTCTCTCAGCAAGAATACTTGTTACCGCTCAGTTTGAAAATTCCATATACATTGTGCTAGGCTCAAGGGACACAGATGTGATCAAGAGATGACCCCTGCCCTAGAGGATTTCACGGTAAAGGGCCATCTTCTAAATGGAAAATCTGGCCTGATTTTTTACTGAATCTTAAGGAACACTCCATACTCAATGATATATGCTTCTCCTGTCAATTTTACATGATCAGCAACAATACATACTAAAACATCACACCATATTGAACTACAAAGAGATGTTACTTCATGAGGAATCAACAGAAAGCTAAATGAAACCACAAGAAAGTAACACTAATACTACTTCTAACAATAATGATAATGATAGATAGCATGTGTGGGAGACATACAATCATCGAGTGTCTGAATATCTAAGTTCCTAGATAAATCCCTTGGCCTCTAATTAATGCCCCAAGGTACTGCCACAAGATTTAACTGGTAATTTGGGGGGACATTAAAGATATGCTAGGGCCATTATTTCAAATTCATTATGTAATTGTACATTTTAAACATACTTTATATGAGGTGATACTTCAAAGGAGTAAGATTTGTTATCAAATGTTCCTTGGGGAATTAGTTATATCATATTGTCAGATCTAATATCCAGTCAGAACTGCAAGGCTTGAGAAAGTCAAGATATGCAACAGTGGCTCAAAGCCACATATTGCATTAGCTTACAAAGATTCACCACCTCTTGACAATAAATTTCATATATTAAAAAAAAAAAAAAAGATTCACCACCTCTTAAGAATTTGCTGTAGACCACAGAATTGTTTAGGGTCAGTACTAAACTCATATTTAATGTCTCTCAGAGTGCAAAACTCATGCTTTTAAACACCATGCTCCAGTGGCAACAATCCAAAACCTGCTAACGTTGGAAATGAACCACATGGTTCCAGGCATCTTTATGGCTTATCTGTGTCCCACCAGAATCACCCCTTCAGAGGCTCTGTCTCTAACCACTATAATTTTATATTAAGATCCTTTTCCTTCATTGTACATTAACACTATTTTCTAAAACAAGCAAATACAGAAAAAACTATATGTATTCATTATGTTATTAGTGATCAGTCAATAATTTAGTTATGGAGATTAATTACTTCAATCCTACCAATTATTGTCTAGATTATACCTAGTCCCTCTTGGTATCTTTATCATTTCTTGGAATTTCCCATCTCATATGATTACTTCATTTTATGATATTCCTTTAAAAAAACTGTCCTCACAGTATCCAAATGATTCAAAAGCACTGGGAGATGTGACTGACTACCAGAACGAAGTATATCATAGCCAGTTTCCTTTGTCACATGTTATTATTAGCAAAAAAAGGGACAAAGAGTAATAAATCATGCAATGAAGGTTTGAAATTTTGCTAAGTTTTATGGAGGTGTTTTTGCTGTTATTAGTGTGTAAATACATGTTTTAAAGCATTTCAAATCCAAGAACCATTCCCATAAGTATTCATCAATTTAAAAGGAATAAAAAATCTGTTATGGTGAATATTCCATACTAAATTTAACTATCAAGTAAATCCAAGATTCATTTAATACAGTAATGAGTCAAAGTCTTTCTAGCAATATTCCCCAGAAATTACCAAATTAAATAATTCAAATCCTTATAAAACGTCTATGACATACAAGACTTTACAGAAGTGTCCAGTCTAAGCAGTATTAGATCCAGAGATGAAAAGTGATAATGATTTGCCTGTGTCCACGAAACAAACTCCATAGGGATTTGATGTTGAGTAGGTAGCACAAGCACCAGCTGAACATTAAAATAAGCCATGAAGATAAAATGGACTTACAATGCAGTTTTTAACAAATTGAAAGGGAAAAGTAACATATACTTAATTAAAAGAGAAAACCACCAATTGTCAAGATCATTTTATGGTCCCCAAAACCTTAAAAATAACCCAAAAATGTCTTTCTTACTTGCTGTCGATGAGCACTTCAGATAGCCGATTATTCACTTGATTATCACTCTTATGGCGAAACTGAAAGTCAAAATATTTGTGAAAAAAATATATTAAATCATGCTTTGTCAGCACAAATAGGAACACTGAAAATACTTTTGAGTTCATCTGTTTGGACAATTTCACCATTGATCCAAAATTAGCCAGTTTATACTTACCATGAACCCAGCTCCATGTGTTCTAAATCTTAATCAATACCCTTCTCACTAACCCTTACTCTGGATGCTACCAATGCAACAAGTGTAGCCACATGCTCTTCTAATTCCCACACATTTTTAGGTGCTTCTAAGAAGACAGTATTCCCTTTACTCTGCCACATGGTTCTAGAAAACTATACATTTTGAAGTCCTCAATAAGGAATAGAGGCTTCCATTTTTCTTACATATGTGCTCAATACTTTATTGGAACATCAGTCATTCTGTTTTATGGATTTCTTTGAAGCCAAGAAATTACTTGTAATAACATGTATTCTTATTCTCCAGAAATTCTAATTGCTAACAGTAATATTATGAAATACTGAGCATTTAAAACAAAACTCAAAATATAATACTGAACAACATTTGGTATGGATTTGTTTTTTATGCCCAAGTGATACTATTTCTTATTGTATATTCTAGTAATGTAAACATCTTACATTGCTTAGAAGAGTCCAAATATTATGAACCCTCTACTAAACTCATAAATTAGCAGTCATTCAGATAAGACTATCATCAAAATTAGTGTTTTCATTTAAAAAATTCAAAACATTGTACCAATATCACAACATCTAAAATGCTCCAACCATCCCTTCTCTTTTTCAAGATCTTTCCCAAACCCATCCCAATCTATTCTGCCATGCCCAGTGCATGCAATTACACTGATTTCCAGGTGTAAGTTAATGTATATTATCAGGAAAAACAAGATATTTAACATTTGTTAACATGAAAAAATTTACAAAATCAATAGAAGAGTAAATTAAATCAACCCATCATTGGCATGCAAATTTCTCACCAGCAGAAATATTATTTTTTCTGAGTATATCATTTGATGTGGGTGCTGGATATTCTGTTTGCTCCTCTGTATTCACACCCCATCCTTCTCCATTCTGCCCTCTGTCATGGGAAGCTGACCCATAAGATCCTTACCCTCTGGCTCCTGGTTGGGTTTGGCCAAAGGTGGCAGAAGATCAGAGTAGCCAGAGGAGAGTGAAATGGGGTATTTTTCTGCCTGGCCTCATTCAAGCTGAGTTACAGAGAGCCCCAGGTGCCATGAGCAGCCCTCAGATACAGGTAATTGCTTCCTCCCATTGCCCCTTCAGACCAAGAAGTAGTATTGCCATCCATATTGCTACACTATGTGCTTTTCTTTGACCACTTTTCTTTTGCCCTTTTGTAAATAGTGCCTTCATTATTAATCTTTCTCCAATCTTTCTCATTTCAGGGTGACGTCTCTTTTCTGTCAAGACCCTGACTGATAATTATATCTGGTTATTGGACCCACACATATCATCACAAAAATAAAAGCATATTCAAGCATGAACTGCAATAAAGACAAAAGGAGACTTAGAATTTAGTCACATCTGTATCAAACCTGAAAACAATCCCCAAAATTGACTAGTTGGGAATCACAGAAAAGGGCCAAACAGTTCACCCCCCTACAAGCTGAGGAGCCTATTCCCTGGGCCTTAAAATAAGTCACTCTCACTTCAGCTCAGGTTTTGCCAAGAACCTGATATTGGTATTGATGTTGGTATTGGAACCTGATGTTGGTATTGGAACAAATGGAGTCTGGTAGGACTAGAAATGGTAGTAGAAAGGCTTAAAGGGGAATTGCCCAGGACAGGAAGGGAGCAGAGTACTAGCACTGATTGTATCCCCACTGCAAGACAGGCTCTGTGCCACATGCTTTATACATAGCATCTCATATTGTCCTTCCAACAGTTCTGGTATCATTAACAACATTATACAGACAAGGAAGGGTCCAGAGAAGTGGTTTCCCTCATTTCATACTGTTAGAACAGTAAGTTACAGTTACAGTAAGTAACAAGGTAAGGAGTCTTTCTTTAAAGCCCATGTTCTTTCTACTCTACCGTTTTATTCTTCTATGAAATGTGACTATAATGAATAAGACATTTACCCCAATATGTAGACACTTAAGCATATAAATAAATATTATGTCCCAGAAAGATCAGCTATTGTGGAGAAGACACACATTTACTCCAAAGTTGCCATTACTCAAATCATGGTTAAAATTTCCTCTCCTAGAATTTCTTGGAGATTACAGTCCATTCTTTAGAATGTCCTCTATTCTTTGAAGATGAAGCTATTTAAAGACATGAAGGGATGCTTTATGTTTGGAAATATATAAAAGCTTCTCTTAGAAAGCAGGTAGGGTGAATACGTTTTCTAGGGGCTTGAGAGATAGCATTTGTTTCCAAAGCTGGGTGAACACAAAATCATGAGATTGGCTTTCTTCTGTACCTTGTACACTGGCCATGAAGACAATTCTTTACAATGAGCATCAAAGTACTTTGAACAATGGCAACCTTATAGGAATGAATAAATTTCAAGCTGACCACTTTTAAGTGACATGATTCATTAGTATGAACAGGTCCTGTGTGTTAGTTAAAAATCCTGCCTCAAAGGTTACAGTCACAATGTTAACCATGAAATACATGAGGCACTTCACTAAAAATGAAGAGAGTCAGGGTTGTCTGGGTGGCTCAGTCAATTAAGCACATGTAGAACCTGCTTGGGATTCTCTCTCTCTCCCTCTCTCTGCCCCTCCCCTGCTCATGCCCTTTCTCTCTCTCTCTCAAAAACAAATAAATAATTCTTAAAAAAAAAAAAAGAGAGAGTCATATCTTATATATCGTACAGATACATGGTATACAAAGACATACCCCTTAGCACAGAGTGGTATGAATAAGGGTTCAAAAGCCACACTGCCCCAGGTAGACTATAAGTTAAACCCTAGAACAACCACCATATAAGCCTATAAAGCTAATAATAAAGATAAGAAGAAATCACAAAAATAATCTAAAAGAGGAAAAATGGAACAAAGAATCAATGAGGCATACAGAAAACAGTAGCAAGATAATAGATTTAAGTCTAATCACATTAAATATAAATGGGTTAAACATTCCAATTAAGAGATTTTCAGATTGCATAAAAAATCATTACCTAACTATATGCTATCTACAAGACACTCACTTTAAAGACATATATAAGTTAAAAATAGACAACAGGAAATATGGGTATGAGTTCACAGGAGAGGCCTAGACTAGGAATAAAAATATGTAAGTCATTGGCATATAGACAATTATTAAGGCTAGCGCACATACAATCACCAAGGGTGAGAATATAACTTCTCTAAATTTAGACATTTGGCTTCCTTGAGACTGTTTTTAAATCTTTGAATTTGAATGACCTCCCTTGGCTTATGCAGACTTCAAAAGTCTCTACTGCTTTCTATTTCACTATTTACATTAGTTGCCTGACTTTTGAAGTGATTTGATTTTGCAACTCCTGGTATAATGAGCAGAGGATGTGAGAGCACCAAATATCTACCAATTCTCAAAACTTAGAGAAAGACATATAAGATAAATAATACTTCACTGGGTAGAAGGAGGTTTGTGTTCTAATTCTGATCTTACCATTAATTGCCTGTCTGATCATTAACATATCACTGGTTCTTTAGAAACTTGGTTTCCTCATCTGTAAAATGAGGGAGTAAGTCTAATTTTTCAAGTCCTCTTGCTTTTAACTTAAACAGGCTCTGGTTCTATGACATCTGTATTAGTCACTGAACAAATAGCAAAAGAGTTTTATGTAATATTTTTTTTTAATTTTTTTTTCAACGTTTATTTATTTTTGGGACAGAGAGAGACAGAGCATGAACGGGGGAGGGGCAGAGAGAGAGGGAGACACAGAATCGGAAACAGGCTCCAGGCTCCGAGCCATCAGCCCAGAGCCTGACGCGGGGCTCGAACTCCCGGACCGCGAGATCGTGACCTGGCTGAAGTCGGACGCTTAACCGACTGCGCCACCCAGGCGCCCCAAGAGCTTTATGTAATATTAAGCAGAAGAGCTCCATTCAAAAATTTCAAATAGATCTCTATTTTTTATTTCTGGGAGGTCACAATTGAAATTGAGAACTCAAGAATGCTCAAAAGTAAATACTCACATAGTCATCTGTGGCATCTTTGACAGCTGTCATAGTTATCACCAGGACCAAAGGCACCATGGTGGTAAACCAGGTCAAGGAAGAGATTTCTGGAATCAGCTGAAACAAACATTTCAAATAGTTTAGGGCTTTTAAGTTAGAAAATACATCTTCCAAATTTTGTCATTATATCTGACACACAGAAAGTAGTAAGATTATACTCAGTTATTTGTACAAATGTAGAATAACTTTCAATAATTTAAGTACTTTCATTAACTTATAAGACACACGGAAGTATCACTGAATGAATTTTCAGACTACTTGACAAAAAATAAAATTTTTATAGCAAGTTGAGAAGTAAGCTTCTTGAAATCCTTCAGATAATGATCTTTCCCCAGTATGACAAATGTCACTTCTCTATTCTCAGCTTCTCATCTCAACTTTTAACAAGTTTTTACTAACTTCTCACCAATTCCAAAAGAGATTCTTTGAGCCATCTACCCTGCACCAAGCAAGTACTTTTCATAAATTATGTCATTTGACATTCAGAAAAGTTCATTGAGTTAGATTATGTACCAGAGTTGTTTTGCACATACCCACAGAATTTGTATTCCATGTAAATAGCACCTCCAGGGTACAACATAGAATACATTGTGAATAATTCCCTAGAGTCAGGAAATGCAGCAGTCCTAAGTATCATTTTCCCATCTTATAAATAAGTATCTGAGAGGTCACCCAACTGGGCCAAGAACATACACTGCTAAAATTTGAACTTTCATCTATTGGCCTCCAAAGCCTTGTACCTATACTTCCAAAGCAACCCACATGACAGAGACATAGTGACAGTTCACATGACTCTCTTAGAAAGAGAGGTTTCAAATGGGGTTCAGTATGGAAGTGCTTAAGAGTCATAAGATAGGAAAAGAGTGGATATGGTCATTGTATGGAGATCAGGCCCTAACAAAAACAGCTCTAAATTAAATCAATTTTATACAATAGCTTCCACATAAAATTTTTTAAAAAGGAAAAAAAAACTCAAAAGCCTCTGTGATACCAATAAAAACATCAGCCTGAGTGGCAGAAAAGCTAGATTGTAGTCCTAATTCTATCACTGATTCATTGTAAAAGCTTTACACATCACTTAACCTTTCTGGGTCTCATTTCTTGATCAAAAAAAAAAGAAGGCTGGACTAAATCATCCCAAAGGCTCCTTCCAGACATAAAATTCTGTGAGCAAGAGCCTTTGACTATACATAAGAAAGCCATTAGAGCAATGAGCTCAAAAGTCTGGAATGATGTAAAGAGTTATATAAAGAAACCAAAAGCAAATTCATAGGGGGCAACAAAAGAAATCTTGGATTCCAAAGTCTTTTCAGTAAACTGTAAGGTATACATTCACTCTGGAGTTTTTGTTGTTGTTTTGTTTTGTTGTACCTATTCAGCATTCAGTTCTTCTCAAGTACACCTTAGGGAACTATCTCACTCCCCCTCTTCCACTTTCAGTCCATACAATGTTGGCAGACTCATTCCATTCTGGCTCCACATTTTGGCATGTGATCTAGAGCAAGTCAACCTTTGCTACAAATTCTTAAGCCGCCATGATTTATTTATGGATAGCGATGTAACTCAGCATAGTCCAGTGAGAGCTAATCCCAAGATTTGCTGAAACAACCAAAAAAAAATGATTCATTCTCTTTCTCTCTCCGTCTCCCTATCTCTCTTTCACGTTGGAGTTGGAGCCAGGAGAATAAAAGTCTAAAGCTTTCAGAGACCACCTGGTAGAGAGGGCCTGCCTGAAAGTAAAGCCAACGTGGAGGAAAGAAAAGTCACATCTTGGGGCACCTGGGTTGCTCAGTCAGTTAAGCAGCTGACCTCAGGCTCAGGTCATGATCTCTCAGTTTGTGAGTTGGAGCCTGCATTGGGTTCTGTGCTGACAGCCCAGAACCTGGAACCTGCTTTGGATTTTGTGTCTCCCTCTCTCTCTACTCCCCAACTTGTGTGCTCGCGCTCTTTCAATCTCTCTCTCAAAATTAAATAAACATTAAAAAAAAAATTTTTTTTAAGAACAGTCACATCCTATTGAAATAGTCTGCCCATGTATCCAGTCATACACAAAATGAGAAATATTCCTAAACATATTCCTATTTTGCTTAAACAAGTTTAGGTTTCCGCCACTTACAGCCAAAGGTCCTTAATATAGTTATTCAATTAAGTAAAAATAGTACTCGAAGTTATTAATCTTGACTGCACCACACATCTAACCCATCTTTTTACCTCCTAAAATTAACACAGAGCCCAGCACATTCTGAATGTACCACTTTGGTCGAAATACTCTAAATACTAGGTAAATTACTCTAAATACTAGGTAAATTACTCTAAATACTAGGTAAATAACTGGCTATCATGAACTGTTTATATGTATGTGCATTGTTTGATTTATGCCTTCTTTTCTTTGCTAAAATATCAGTAAAAGTTAAAATTTTCTTTAAGCCCAAGTTTTAGTCAGCTGAGAGGAAAAAGAAAGTTTATTAACTACCAATTAACCTCTCAAAATTGCAAAAAATAGTCACTCTACAGTGAGACAAGATATAACATATTTTACACATACACACGCGCGCGCGCACACACACACACACACACACACACAAATAGGTTATTGTTCTTAGATGCAAATGAAATTTTCCCAGTTAGCTTCCACTGACTACTACTCAGCTAGACTGCCTCAACTCTGATAACACCCATACTGTCAACACAAGAGGGAGATAAAGAAAGGAGGAAGGCTATGAACAGTAATTATTAGGCTCTGGTGTGGTTCAAATAAAGTGCAAGGCTGCATTCTAAAATGACCTCAGTGTTTAACATGATGAATGTACTAGTTTTTACCCATTCCTGACTCTCCCACATTTGTAAAGAGAAACAGCAATAATAACATTCAAAATCTGATAAGAAGGGTTTTACCTAATCATGAACATTTAGCTAAGTGAATTAATTTTTTCAAATTGTATGAATACTCCTAACAAACTGACGATTAAGAAATACAACCTAAACATTACCTGTAAAATCAGAAGGAAAAGGAAATAGGCATTTGCCACTCTTTGGAACTGTTCAAATAAATTAATTGGCAAAAAGGTAAGAATGTTGTACTTGGATGTGTGGATACAATTATCCTGAAAAAAAAAAATAGCATCATGTTAGATAGGGGCAAGGCATTGCTCATTTATCAGAAATAGCTCTAAAACTTACAAGGATGAACATGAATTATGCCAGAATAAGACACATAAATCACCGAGAAAATTTTAAGTTCTATGTGGCCCAAGGTGTTCATTTTTCCCAAAATGATACTCTCCTGATATAGTTGAAATTACTGTCCAATGCCATAAAATAAACCATGACTTAAAAATGTATCAAGTACGAGTCTGCCTCTGAAATTTTTTACTCTTATGTATTCATTCGTTTGGCAAATATTTCTTGAGCACCTACTGTATGCAACACTGAGCTTGTACTTAGAGCCGTGAAGTCTGAATAAACTTTAGAGATCATCTGGTCCACCTTCCCATTCTTTAGATAATTCTGACAAGGGGAATCCTAGTCAGGTCTTTAAAAGTCTTCTGTGATGGAAAACTGACCACCTCACAAAGCAGCCTCTTTCTATTTCAGAACTGGAATTGATAGAAAGGTCTTTATTATGAGAAACCCAAATCTGCCTCTCCGTAACTTTTTACCATGTGCCAAATTCCATCCCCCAGGTCCCCCAGACAAAGTCTAAGCCCTTTAAATGTTGGAAACCTTCAAATATTTGAAGACCACTCCTAGGATTCCCCAAATCATCTTTACTCTGATCCAGACATTCTCAAACCCCTCAGCCATTCCATGACTTATTTTATCGTCATCTCTTCCTGATCAGTTTCTTCTAGATCTATCCCAGCCTCTCTGCATCTCTCTTAAAACATGTCGCCCAAAACCAAACACAACCAATCCAAGTACAGTAGAAACTTTGATGTTCTGTGTTCTGGAATATCGTATTAACATGCCTTAAAATTTCATCAGCATTTTGGCAGTTGTAGCTGTTTATTCATTGAGTTTTGATGAACTAACATATGTAGATCATTTCTTCATACATCACTATGAAATCAGATACTCCCTTCCTAAACATTTACCATTGATATTCTCATATATTGACATCTTTGATATATTCCTATTATACTAATCTAATGAAAAAAATAATTTTAAATATACTATCAAACTATTAAATATTCCTCCTAGCTTTGTGTCATCAAAAAATTTCAGGGGCACCTGGGTGGCTCAGTCAGTTAAGCAGCCAACTTTGCTCAGGTCATGATCTTGCTCTTCGTGAGTTCAAACCCCACATCGGGCTCTGTGCTGACAGCTTAGAGACTAAGGCCTGCTTTGGATTCTGTGTCTCCCTCTCTCTCTCTCTGCTCCTCCCCCACTTTACAGTCTGTCTCCATCTCTCTCTCAAAAATAAATAAACATTAAAAAGAATTAAAACAATTTCAATTTTTAGCTATTCTTCCAAAGCTGTATGGACTAATACACTATATTTTTTTTAACACTTATTTATTATTAAGAGACAGAGAGAGACAGAAAATGAGCATGGAAGGGGCAAAGAGAGGAGGAGACACAGAATCGGAAGCAGGCTCCAGGCTCTGACCTGTCAGCACAGAGTCCAACACAGGGCTCGAACCCACGAACCATGAGATCATGACCTGAGCCAAAGTCGGAGGCTCAACTGACTGAGCCACCCAGATACCCCTAGACTAACACATTATAAAGGACAAGACTAAAGACTCCCCCCAAAAAACAAAAAAACCCCACAGACACAGAAAAACATTTTTAATTAAAAAAATAAGCTTTTTCATCCACTTGTATTTTAAAACTCAGCCTGTGTGACTGGTTTTAAGCCAAACTACACTGGCTCCTAGTAATCGCTGCTACCTGTTTAAAGAAAATATGGTCCCCTGTTAAATAGCCATTTTTCAAATTTACCAGGAATCAGTGTGTCTAGCTCTGTGCAAGAAGCTGTGGGAGAGTAAGAGAGGTGCCCAGCGGAGAACTCCCAGCTTAGTTGGTCTGATGCACAGTCATGTCCTGCAAACTCTTCTGTAAGCTGATGATGACTATTTTGCAGTGAGCTGTCAACTCAAGGTGTGGGCTGGAAGAAAGGCTGTGAGAGCTACTAATCACGTAACAGGTTTCTGAGGAAGGGACTTGGAGAAAAGAATAGGGAGGAGGAAAGCTAAGGAGAAAAAGCAGTTAACAAAAAAAAAAAATCACATATACTTAACGGTTTTATATTTTCTTCTAAGTTGAAACTAAAATGAGGTTAAGTCTGTATCTTGTAAAAGGACAGATGGAACATCTGCTGGGAAGCTCAAAACCATGACAGGAATTATAAAGAAAATCTTCTACAAAACTGAATTCCACATAGGTAAAAAGACAATTGTGTGGGATAAAGTGATAATGCCAAATGGGGACTGTGACGATTTTCTTCTATTTGTTTAACTTGACATATAGCAATGATTGTGTTGTTCTTCTGGCTCTGTTGTGACTTAGTCACAGATGATGCAAACCCTCACAGCTATGATTGGGAACAAAGAACGAGTGCTCCCCCTCCTGGAGGATCTCTGGACACATTTACCTTTCTTTTTCAATCAAAAGGGAAAAAGTGGTTCTATTTCTACTGCTTGTCCAAGGATGTAGGTATTGATAAGACCTTAAATATTCAGTCACTTCACTGATCAACCTATTAGCTTACAGTCAAACTTTACTACAATTCATGCCATTATATAGCACAGAAGATCTTTACCTCTATCCTCTTAGCACGACTTTTCCACCATGGACCACTAGAAACATCCCAATACAGAAGCAAGGAGGAAGAAGAGGAAAACAAGAAAAAAAAGGAATACATCTGGAGAATCCATATAGAATCTTTAGTGCTGGTTGAAACCAGGATGGAAGTCATGGGTTTAGTTTGTTAACCAGGTGGGCTAGTTAACTGACCCCAAGATGTCATAGGCAATCCTGGACCACAGGAGGCCTCCCATGTAGTGGGAAAGGTTCTACCCCTAGAGGAATATCAGAGAACATCAGTTCTCTATAGGAAGCTTGCTTCCAAGAGGAAGAGGACAGAGCTGAGCTGGGAAGGCCCAGAGAACCCTGCAAGATTGACACATTGAATAAGTAACTCCACCATAGAGTGAGTAAAGGGGTGGAGAGAAAAGTGTTGCCACAGTAGAGATCCCTCCACCAGGAAGACAACATCAGGATGAGGGGGAAAAAAAACATCACTCCTCTAAAATATATTAACACAAAGGCCCTGAAGTAGGCAAAAGATGGCTCACTTGGGGGTCTAAAAAGGGGACTATGAGGCTGTACTAAAGAGGTCAGCACAGAGGCTAGAGAGAGAAGTTCCCTGAAATACATACTAAGAATTTGGTGTTTATCATAAAGACTAAAATTTTAAGTGAAGAGGGAACTACTGAATGGCTTTAAACAAAGGAGTAACCTGAAGAACTTCTAATTTTAAAAGATCACAGTAGCTAGAGTGGAGAACAAGTTGGAAATGACACAAGAATAGATGAGAGAAGACCATGAGAAGGTTTTTTAATTAGTCCAGGTGAGAGATGATGGGTGGCTTAAAACAGAGGGTGACAAAAAAGGTTGACAATGAATAATAATAATATAAAAGAGCAGCTGGTATTTATCAAGCTCTTCCTATGTATACTATTCTAAAAACTTTAAATTTTACAGCTTATTTTATCTTCACAATACCTTTATGCAATAGGTACTATTATCCTTACTCTATAGAAGAGGAATCCCAGGCTTGGAGAGATTAAGTAATATGTATAAGCAAGGTTATATAACAGATAAGTGATGGAACCAGGATTTGAACCCAGGTACTCTGTTTCCAGAGCCCACTCCTCAGCAGTGTACTTCCCCAATTCAGGGCAAAGCAGATCTCTCTTCTGCTTTCAGATCAATCATCCCCTGCTCTCCCCTCCACTCTGAATTTCTGGTCTGCTGCCACTTTCTTACCAAGGAAAATAACACTGTATATCTACCTTTTCCTCTTGAGTCAACCCCTGCTGTAGGAGCTCTGGTTATCTATTGCCTGATGTATGATTACAGTTTCCCATGTTCTCTTTCAGACCCCCTCAAGAGTGATTCTCTTGGTCCCTGACAAAGTTCAATGCAAGTAAATAGTATAAATAACCACTCTTTTTGTTTAGCTTTCTGACAGAAGCAGCATTGGCCAAACTTCTTTACATTTTCACATTAACTATTTGGTACAGGAAAAAGTAAAGTAAAAATGATAAATTCTTCAGAGGTGGAACATCAAACTCAATATTAGCAAAATGAGAGGCATTATTTTTTATAATGAGATTTTATTGCGTAATCGTATTGCTTAAGAAAACAAAGCAAATAGAAAATAACAAACACTGCTAAATTAGTAAACAGAGCATTTGGGGAGTTTACTTAAATTCTTCCACTGGAAATATGGAGCTAATAATATTTCTCACCTACATATTTATAGGACTATTGTGGAGATTAAATGAGATCATAGATGTGAAAGCATTTTTGAGTTTTACTTTGAAAGAATTATACAAATATAAGATTTCTGTAAAGGGTCCCCAAATAATCCAAATGGTTTTAGGAAATTCAATACCATAGTAACAAACAACTCCAGAGTCTTCATGGCTTAAAATAATAAAGGTTTATTTCTTGCTCGTGCTACTTATTCAACTGAGCCAGCAGGGAGACCGTTTCATCATAGTTACTCACAATGGACCAGCCACCATCTCAGACACTTGCAATTACCGTCCCAGAGGGAAAGAGAATGCTCTGAAGGGTTTCTTACCTATAAATTTATGCTTCATCCCAAAGGCTCAAACTCATTGATCAGAACAAGTCACCATATGCCCAAAAGGCAGAAAGCCAGAAACACTTATGGACACCACAACCAGAAATGGAAACTAAGCCTAATATTTGGGGAATGTGGGACACATCAGCCATAAAAATCAAATATCAAAAAACAAACTTAGTGCTACAAATCCAGTCTTATTTTAATGCTAGGTGTAACAGACATTTGACTATTTTTCCCTTCCCCTGAGCTAACAGTGCTGCAAATTTCTTAGTCTTGTGGTCAGGATAGATTCAATTCTCATCGATAACTCCAGGGTCAAACCCAGAATAGCTTAAACCAAATACATGGCCCATCTTCCTAATTACAATCTTGAGTTCAGGGATTAGCACGTGAACCATGTCAATTCTGGGAATTTGCTAGAATTGTTGGCTTTCTCTTTCCTACTAAATTCCAACCTGGAAGCAAAGAGCCCTAAGAATCATTGACAGCATCTTGGGACCCTGAGTGGGGAGGCTGCCAGAAATAAAATCTACACTGAAGATTCAGGGCCAAGAAATGCAGAGAAAGAAACTAGACCAAGCCTCTCCTGAGGCTAGCTTGCCCTATTTCAGGACTTCTCAGTTTTTTATCTATTCACTTATTTTATTATCTAAGTCACTTTGACTTAATTTCTCTTTTACGCCCAATCAACCAAATACCAGTTAAGAACATTAATAATATATACAAGATCAGTTTACATTTTTATATAATAGTGTACTTTCCTCTCTATATTTGCCTTAAGGAATGAGTCACAGAAGGCCAAGCCAAAATGCATCTGGTGGTTGTCCCAGGACGTTGCCTGCGTCTTGTGATCCCACAGGCCAAACCCCAGGAGCTTTCGCAATGAGCACCACAGTTTCAGCCCTCTCAGATCTTCCCACATTTGATGAAACATTGTTATGTCTTGACAGCTGTAAAAAGTAACAGTCAGGGAGCTTGAGGGGGGGAAAGAGCCTAACATTCTTGCCATAAGAGGAGGCAGAGAAAGATGGTACAATATTCACTTCAGAAGGAGAAACAGTCTTGACTCTTAAAGAGAAATTATCTCTAAACCATAAAATAAAACCCAAAATGTGATGGCGTACACAGGACACTTGCATAAAAAAGGAAGTGGCCTAAACACATTTGCACCACTCAGGAAATATGTGACACACCCTTGGTTATGCAAAGGTCCCAAAAGAACTCACACACGGGGCACATAAGCCTGGAGATGGGGTGTGTGGCGCCTCACCGACCCCAGGCAGAACCACAACTCCTCAATGTTAGTCAAACGGTGCCCAGTGAGCAGTGTATCGCCCTCAAGGTTGGGAGGCAGGACAAGATGATAGTGCTCCTCTGTGAACACTGCTGACTGCGGGTCAAGCCACAGAAGACGCCTTACAGACAGCCATCAATAAACCGCACTGTCATCACCACCACCACCATCTTCATAACGTTCCTCTGAGCCTGGGATCCCCAACAGGAATAAGGCATCGGTGGGGAGGGCACATTGTCCCCAGTATTCCTTCATTCATACGACCAAGGGCCTTTCATGTGATAGGCACTGTCATTGAGCCAGGACTGCAGATATGAATAGACAAAGTCCCAACCTTCCCAGAGGAAGTTTGCATTCTAGTCATGGGAAGACAGGCAGGAATACACAGACAAACTTGTACACTGATGACACAGTTAAAGAAAATGATCAATGCTATGAAGTGAGTAACAATACAGGAACACCTTGCCTACCAAGACTCCCTTAGGAAGCCTGCACACTCGACATTTCAGGTTAAGGCAACTTCAGGATTATCCTATCTGATGAGACCACTGTGGCATCTGTCCTCCAAGGGACACCCAACAGTCCTTCAGGCTATTAAAAAAAATAGTAACTTCTGTGTATGTTTTAACAAAGAAATTTAAAGTTGCGGTTATTAATGTTTAATGTACAGATCATCTTAACTCTTTATATACACAAACATACATACTTACATTTATATATATATATAATCTAATGTGTATATATATATGTCTGTATATATATATGTAATGTAAGTATATATGGATATATACATACAAACACAAGGTAAATATACGTATATTGGGAAGGTTTTCTTTTTTTCTAGCTAGGTATTTGATCTGGGCAACATATTTGGATCTACTTTTTTTTAATAAAGTATAGTTGACACACAATGTTAAATTAGTTCAGGTGTACAACATAGTGATTTGACAATCCCATACATTACTCAATGTTCGCCATGAATAAGTGTAATCATACAACGTTATTACAGTATTATTACCTATATTCCCAAATGCTGTATCTCTGCAACTTACTTATTTTATAACTTAAAGTTTGTACTTCTTAATCCTCTTTACCTATTTCCACCATCCTACCATTACCCTCCCATCTGGCAACCACCAGCTTGTTCTCTGTATTTAGAAGTCTGGTGCTGGTTGTTGTTTGTTCATTTGTTTTGTTTTTTACATTCCACGTCTAAGTTTTATTTGTCTTCTTCTGACTTATCTGAGTTAATATAATAATACCCTCTAGGTCCATCCATGTTGTTGCAAATGGCAAGACCTCATTCTTTTTGAAGGCTGACTAGTATTTCATCATCTTTATCCATTCATCTATCAATAGGCACAGGACGGTCTTATTTTTATAAGTAGGGAACATGCTCAAAAAGTTTGAAAACTGTTAGACTAAACACTGTTATAATCAGGGAAAATGAGTGTGGCCCATGTGTCACCAAGAAGTGGATGCAAAATGAAGAAAGTATGACTTTGTGTGTAATGATGTCTCTGTTTCATGCAAGGACACCAGCTAACATGTAGTGTCTCCCTACACAGGCTAAGCACTGTGCCAAGCACTGTACATACATCATCTCAGATAATCTCCAAAAAATTTAATGAGCTGTTGCGACTTCAGCACCATTTTACAGAAGAAGAAACTGAGGCCTAGAGCAATTACAAGGGCTGCCCATAAAAGCTCTTTTGTAGAGTCACGTGTTCTCCCAAATGGGATGTTTTTCCTGGGAAATTAGTCAGAAACAAGCAATATCTGGACTCCCTCTTGATGAATAAATCCACTAACCTTCCTATGATATTCTTTGGTAAAGAAAAGAACCTCTCAAAACTGAGACAGTGGAAGGTGCACATGAATTCAACCACCTAGAGCAGTTACTCTCAGTCCCTTCAACTCAGGGACAGCATCATCAGGCTTTTCTAGGAAGCTCCATTTCCCCTCTAGACTTCACAAACATAGACAGTGGCTAGGCAAGCTTTCAGGCTTCAGTCTCCCCCCAGAGCAAATCTGCCTGGCAGTATCATAAACCTTGTTTTCTTTTCTACCCTCAGAATTTAATGTAGTGTTCCAGCTTCTGCAAGACTGTTGTAGAACTAGTAAATGGCCTATGAATAGTAATTTGTCTACAAAGAACTAATTTTGGACAATTACCAGGGGAACAAATTAAATTTCCCTCTGAGATTAATTTAATCACACTAATTTTTTTTTCCTCCAGGGTGTTTAGATGCATAGAACATATAAAGGCTTTTAACTAGGTCCAAATAAAACTTTTCTTTTGTGACATCTGAAAAAAAGCAAAAATACTATTAAAATTATATAGAGACAGAGAGAGACCTAGTATATGCCTTCTCCAGAGAGCTAAGATATAAAACAAAAGGAAGCCATACACAAGAGGAAAGAAATCAAAAGTTGTATTTCAGTGGGACGTTCACTGGGCATCCCTAATGATTTGTTTGCCTATTTCTGCTTACCAAAGCTCTTCTGTGCCTCCTCCGTATAGATCTAACATCTACAGGGAGTAGGTCCTCAGCTTTGACCTATTGGCCCATCTCATTCTAGGGCTGCAGAGGCCTTGGAGGACCAGAGTGGGCATTTATTTGCATTGAAATGAAGCTGGCTTGCTCAGGTCCATTTCCTGAACCACCAGAGTGTCTTTGGACAATGTAGTGTATATGAGCTGCTTTGTTTATGAGGCCTAAAAATTAGACCATGTTCACACTGCTATGCCGTCTGGGAACTAGGCCAAATTTCAGGCAAGACCTCAGCATTTATGATAATAACAAAAGCACAATGGAAAAGTCCAGTTAATGAGGAGACACCCATAATGAATTTCCCAAAGGGCGGAGGGGTTTTAATAATCCTTTCTAGCACTCTACCTCTTACACTAGGTTGCTACACAAATAACACCATGCAATCTTCTCCTGAACCCCTGGGGATCAAATGAGTAAGTAAGTGCATCTCTGAATTCCCACCCTCTTCAGGGTGCTGGGCAATAAATCTAAGTTTAGAAAAACCACATCACCTGCCTTTGTGATTTTTGTTTGTTGAGTAGTTTTTAATTGAGAGTAGAGGTTTTGAAAGGGAAGGATCAAGAACTGGTTGGGACACAGGAAAAGAAAATTCTCTACATGGAATGGGAAAAAGAAAGAGGCTTCAAAAGAATCTTCTGTCATTAAAACACAGTAACAACAATAGTAATTTATACATAAATTGAAGTGTTGATCTTTTATTTTTTGTGATGACATCATCTACAAAGAGTTTAGTGAATTTTCACCAAATTTGGAAGTTTCACTTAGAATGGTCTGAGTTAAACAACGACTAAATTTGCTTCAGGGAACTGGAAACAGGGCTCCCTAGAGACATACATAAACATAGGCAGTTGTCTTCTGCAGGATCTGACACAGAGATTCAATAAGAAGCTCATGTGAGTGCCTAGCAGAGCAAGAGCTACCATGATGTGGGCAGAGAAAATACACAGTGGCTTCAAATGTGAGTCTCCAATCAAAACTCACTAAGACAGATGGTCTAAGTTGCTGAGCTGCTTCTCACAGGAACAATTCTAAGTATTAGGATCCAGGGTGAGTTACAGTGGGGATTTGTTTATTTAATAGTTAATGATCCACCCCATCCTAGTGAGGCCAGCTAGGAATAACAGTGAGTGGCCAAAGCAGACCAGATCCTCTCCCGTTTCCTGAATAAAGGAATGAATGAGTAAATGAGTGAGTGAGTGAGTGAGTGAGTGAGTGAGTGAGTGAATGAGGAGCTCCTGGTTGCATCACCTACACCTTCTCCACCATCTCATTCTACTTCCTTCTCATTCCTTTTCCCCAGTGCATTCCTCTGATACATTCCTCCTCCTGATTCACTCCATCTGGGGTAAGGGTTCAAAAACAAAGTTCATCCTGACTCCTATGCAAGTGTATCAGTTTGGGGGAGAAAAAAACCAGAGAGATTGTTGCATTTGGCAGAATAGTATCAAGAGGCATTTCATGGGAAGAGAAGCCTGTGCTCTGTGTCCCTCCACTGAGGGTCACCTGTGGTGATATAAATAAGACAAAGGATTTGAAGAGTGTGGAGGAGGGGAAACCTAGGGGTCTGACATGTGGCCTGAGGATTTTATGAGAAACTGGTTTTCCCAAATGGTTATTATCTTATTTATAACAACAAAGGATGCCAAACCATTTTAGACATTCTCTTCCCACAATAGTCCTTTCCAGGGGGATTTTGCCTATATACTCAGTAAGGAAATTGACACTCAGGAAGGCTAAAAACACCTGCTTAGGCCAAGCCAGTCATGGCCCACAGCACCCCCTCCCTGGGCTCCTAGGAAATTAACTGATCCCAGACCTGAAGAAGAGCCCCAACTGGACTGTGAGCTCCTTGAGGAAAAATACTACTGAGTCTTGTTGACTTCTATGGTTCTCACCCCCACGCCAGGCACACAGCAGTTCCTCAGTAATTGTTGCCCTTTATAATTTAGTTTTTAATAATACTTTTAATTTTTAAAAATGAACTCTTGGGACCTCATCAAAATATAAAGCTTCTGCACAATGCAGGAAACAATCAGCAAAACTAAAAGGGAACTGACGGGATGGGAGAAGATATTTGCAAATGACATATCACATAAAGGGATAGTATCCAAAATCCATAAAGAACTTATCAAACTCAATACCCAAAAAAACAAATCATCCAGTGAAGAAATGGGCAAAAGACATGAATAGACACTTCTCCAAGGAAGACATCCATATGGCCAACTGACACATGAAAAAATGCTCAACATCACTCATCATCAGGGAAATACAAATCAAAACCACAATGAGATACCACCTCACACCTGTCAGAACGGCTAACATTAACGACTCAGGCAACAACAGATGCTGGCAAGGATGCAGAGAAAGAGGATCTCTTTTGCACTGCTGGTGGGAAAGCAAACTGGCACAGCAACTCTTGAGAACAGTATGGAGGTTCCTCTAAAAATTAAAAATAGAACTACTCT